GCGCTTTCCACCGCGTTATTCAATCCGAGTGTAGCACCGGCTATACTCTATAATTATCGTCTAAGAAATGAAGAGATGTTCGCAAACAGCGTCAATTGGACTTGGAACGAATCGCAATTGGGGTTGGATTGGAATCAAAGAATTTCACTGATTCAACTAGAAATTCGATTAAAACTTTCTATATTTATATTTCTATATATATATATATGTATATGTATATGTATATATATATATATATATATATACATATCTGATAATTCCATAGATATAATTGCTCTCGTAATCATTGCTTTCACTTAATTCATACAAGTTCGTTAAGTCCGTTCGATGCTCGACGAACTCTCGTGTAATGTATAAGATATAATAAAAGCGTGCGCACAATATGGAGTTAAGAAAGTAACAACGAGTTTGCGTATTCATTTGTGAGTTAAAACGGTATTGAGAGAAATCTCGATACAAAATGGCAATTGACGATCGATCGATGGCGAGCGTGTAACGCGGCCAAGAAAACGGTTTCGCACCTTTCAACGATCCACCAACACACCCGACACTTGTACTTATAGCATCCCGTCGCCAAATGAGAATCGGAGCAAAAGATCCAACATTTCCCCACCCCTTGTATTTACAAGTAAACATGCACCACTCCGCGACTCTTTCTTTTTTCCTTTCTTTCTTTCTACGAGAAAATCACGTCTCTTTTCATCTTCTCCATCGATTTATGAATATCGCTTCCCGCTTCTGAACCATAAAGGATCGATCGAATGCAATTGACTCATGAAAATGCCATACCCCTTCGCGGTAATTCCAGACTCTTCTCGAAGGTGTGGAAACGCCTCTTCCAGGTATAAACCCGTCTCCTCCTCGCCGATCGTCGCCCTCCTCGTCCTCCTCGCTGTCCTCTTCGTCCTCCTCCGCCTCGTAACGCCTCCGCCTTCCCGCGTACGCGTCCTGCGCAGGCCGACGACGACGTCTCCTCTCGACACCCGTTTCCGGGCTCGATCTAATCCTGATGATCGTCGCCCCGTTCCTCCCTTCGTGGGTCGACGACGCGTATCTGCTCGCATCGCCGTCTCTCGGAGACGGATGCTCCCCGTTCTTCCCCAACGCGTGCGCCCGATTCTCCTCGGATTTCGCGCGCCCGCTCCGAGGCTTCGAGCCCTCGAACTCGAGGTTCGACCCCTCCTCGAGCCACGAACGATGAACCCTATCTCGGGATCCTCCTTGGATCTCGAATTCGGGGGACGGATCTCGATCGATCTCCGAACGCCCCTCCGGATTCGCCCGGTATCTGCTGTTCTCTCGGATGTAGTTGGCGGCGAAAATCCGGTTGCTCTCGTGCCATGCCTTCGAATCGAACTTCTCCTCCCCGCCCTCCCGTTTCGGCGGTGTCAACGGTCTCGAGTGCCTGTCCGATCTTTTATCGCTATCGCCCTCTTCCCGATTCCTGCTCCTCGAGGAGCAACCTCGCCTCTTGGGATCCCCGCGCTCCCTCGACCAGCCTTTCCTCTCCGAATCGTAGCCCCGATCGTTCGAAGGGCTCGCCTCGGAGTCGTCCGCCTCGCTCTGAAAAGAGACACCGCCGAACTCGACGTAGCGGCCATTGGGGGAGTGCCTCCTTCTCGCCTCGTCGAGATTTCGAAAAGACCGAGCTTTGCCCGCTTCGTCGTCGTCGTCGTCGTCCCTGTACGAAATCCCGCCAAATTCTACGCTCTTCTCCTTCGAGGAATTCTTACGCCCCGAGCGGTCGAAGCTCACCCTCGAGCCGACGTCCGCCTCTCGATCCTTGCACGAGTGTGCCCTGCTCGAATCGGCGTCCTGTTGTTCGAAAGTGATTCGACTAACTCCGGTATCGGAGTTGTGCCCTTTGAACGAGCGCTTCCTCTCCTCCTCGTCGTTGTCTCGATTCTTCGACAAAATTCTCCCGTAATCCGATTCCTTGAAGGAATTCTTCCTCCCCGCTCCTTCGTAACCTTGCTCCGGATTCTCCCTTCCCGAGTATTTCTTCTCCGCGTCCTGGCTTTTTAACGAACTCTTTCCTGACCACGGATCGTTCTCGCGATCCTTGCTGGACTCTCTGTCCCGAGAGCGGTGCGAGTTCCTTCTCGCGTCGCAACACTTGTTGAACGAAGTCTTCCTCGTCACCTGTCGGTCCAAAGGATCCTTGAAGGAGTCCCTCCTCCCCGGATCGACGCCCGATTCCTTCGACGAGACCCGCTTGAACGAATCCGCGTCTCTTCTACCAGCCTCCGGGACCACACCTCTCTCGTACCTCTGTATCCTCACCTCGAAATCGTCCGGGTTACCGTCGTACGCGTAACTTCGCCTCCTTAGATTATTCTCTCTCCTCCGTGAAACGTCGTCTTCCACCGTCTCCTTGGAACGCCNTCGATCCGTCTGCCTCCTCGATCTCGAACTCTCGTCCTGCACAATGTCCTTGATATCCCACGCGCCGAAGTGTTCCTTGCTCTTTTTGTACAACACGTCCGCGTTTACGTTCCCGTGTTCCCCGTAGTCTCGCCCGTTCTTGCTCGCCTCGTCCCTCTCCTCGTTCCTCGCCATCCCAAAATGGTAACGATTCCCTTGGCCGCTCTTGCAACCGCTGTTCAACGGGCGATCCTCCCGATCTCCGTCCTGGAAACGATCCTTGACGCGCGACGAAGTCACTTTCGATCCTTCCCTCATCGAGGAACAGCCGCGAACGCGGGACGTCATCGT